GATAGCTAAGAGTCAGCTCTATCTACCTGCATAATACTAATTTTCTCCGGTGAAAGATGACTTAATTATGCTCAAAATATCTGAAAAGTTTTAGGCGATTATCAGAATTACCCCATGTGACTCTATATCATGAGCAGTATATGTATCCTCATAAGAAATGTGCACGGATACCGTTTTCTTACCCGTTCTCGACGCGAAAACGTTTCTCACCCGTACCCGACCCAAGAACTTCGTATCCGTACTCGATCCGTACCCCACTTACGCCTAAAAGTTTTCTTCGTTTCGTTTTCTAACTAAAAACCTTTGTTCTTCGGCTGGAGATGTCAAGTTATCATTATGTTCGTAAGTCACCCTCACCCTCATATGCTCAGAAAGTTCTGTATTCTCTAGTGGAAACAGTAAATAAAACGGCCACTGACATAGTGTGGGCAATATAAGTTCGTGGCAAATTTTCATTTCCCGTCAAAGTAGATATTTTTCATATGCATAGAAAGGGTGTGTATTAAGTTCCGATTTCCCTTCTGGAGGGAATCAAAACTTAATACACATCCTTTGTATATGTATATGTACTCTTACGTTTGATTTAAGTCCAATTCGAGCTCTTTAGTATCCGATTTTGTAGCAAACTCTCATGGCAACTTGGCTTCTGATAGTACACATCATGAGTAATGTGATGATATGCGTTCATAAAGAGTTTCTCTTTATGAAAATTTTATATTTCTGGGAGCCTTAATATATTTAACATCTTCGTAGCAGTAGCGTATTTATGGATTTATATGCAGTTATATTTTACATACGTTTATTCATCTTTTGGGTTGGAGGTTATTAGGTTTTTCAGATGTCTTGTCCATGCGAAGAGGAATTGTTATTTATACGAGTTTGAAAAGACAGTCTGTTTTCATTGCCTTCTTCATCCATAGTGAATCTCGAAAATATCTGTATCTCATAATTGTATATGACTATGAAGTTCAACACTGGTACTAACGTAGAACTAATCAAATTTCTGTTTTGAACGTCGCAATCAAAAAGAATGAAATCTAGTAACAATCGTATGCACAACAATCATTGATGTTTTTATTTAAAAAAAGAGCGAAGCTTTCAATTACGAACGGTAATCATCATCAGCTATAGTTTGCAATCAAAAACACACAAGTAAATAGCAAAAGTAAAACTAAGAATAAAAACAAAGGACTGAATATTAGCATGAAAAGGAACAAACAAAGATTCGATTCGATTCTGTTCATCTGTATTGGAAACTAAATTTGTTCTAAAACACAGTTCTTTCATCGAAAATACTTTTTTAATACATGCGGTGGACATTTCAAAAAACGCCGCCGTTTTAACAGTAAAAACATACTTAAGAATTTTTTTGCAATATTACGAGTTATTTACGTTAATCTCTTTCTGACAGAAAAACATACATGAGATGTCGATAAAAACATCTTTTTGATGCATTTTCACGGTTCAAGAGAAAACATTTTTCGTGAATCGTTAAACTTATATGGATTTTTACACAAAAGGGTTTAGATTATTTGATGAATTTTACAATTCAAAACCTCAGAATCATTAGATAAACTTGACTGTGTTGATATACAGGCCTGTTGAAACAGAGAAGACCTAAGAAGTGGATATTATTTGTTACAGAATAAATTTTTACCCTCTTCAGCATGTCTGTCTCATTGGGTGAACTACTTTCTCGACACATGTTACTGTAGAATGAGCGTGAGAAATCCACGTATAAGCCATTTGCAAGTTGTAGTGAGTTTCTTGTTTCATTACGTTCAAGCACGCTAATGCGTCTGAAGTGCTAAAATGCCTTTTACAGTAAAAAATAATGTCCTCCTTTCCTCCTTTTTCAACGCCTATCCTCCAAAAAAATTTGTGGAAAATCCTCGTCTATTCTCCTTTTCCTCAAATGATCGTTCACATACCAGGTTCCTATCTGAGAGATATTTTCCGACTTTGTTGATGAAGAATACAAAAACAAACAAAGTTATCGGGATCGAATGCTTTTCTTCACACGTTCTCGATAAAATATCGAAATTTTAGAGCGTCACAGACCTATCAAAATTTGTTTTTCTGTTAATCTGTTATGGTTAGAAGTTAGAAAATTCTCAGATGACCCCTATAGAGCAAAATTCCGCGTAAGTCCACCATCTGTATTATGCAACACCTGGTTTCTTGGCCTTGTTTTTCAAGTCACAATTTGAAAATGGCTAGATTTTTGAAATGTCCACCGCTTGTATTAAAAAAGTATTTTCGATGAAAGAACTGTGGTTTAGAACAAATTTACTTACATTATTTAATTTTATTTACGTCACAAATGAACCTTGGATTTTCCACTAAAACATTCTGGTTTTCGGGTAAATTAAAAAGAACGGAACCCGTAGCGGTAACTGCTCTATCCGTACCCGCCAGCTTTTGCCCGTACCCAACCTTCGGATCGGGTTGCATAGCTTTAATCCTCATAGGTTCATAGCTAGGACGCAAGACGTAAGAAACAGTCTTTAATCGATAGCTGGAGAAGAGATTTGAAAAGCCGAGCCGAGAATTTAAAAATATCGAAAGTGGCGAACAGCGATGAGAAAAAGAATCGGTTTGAGAGAAATGGTGCCAGGTCATCCTAGTTGTTCGAGGAAGGTGTGTCGAAAGAAAAAAGCAGGAGATAAAACATGCTTTTTTCCAAGAAAGATGCCGCGCTTGGGAGAAGTTTTTTAAAAATAAAATTAAGAGGATCAAAAGGCCGTTTCTCTCAAAATACACGGGAGAATGCCAGGGAGAAAAACTCACTGGAGAGTGTACACCTCCGGACGCACGGTTGGTATGGGCCTGGCTGAAAGAGAGAAATTGGCGACTACCGCAACACCAGCCCTATCGAAGCCAAAGCTCTTGTTATACTATTATACTGCCATTCTTCTTAGTGCAACACAAGTGTATACAAAATTTGTATAAGAAACACTGTTTAATGAATGTTATCTTGTTCTTTTATGATCATCTCATTTCTCCTGCATACGTTATCGCGAGTAAAACGATGAATTGTCCAATCAGAATCTATTGAAAGTATCATAGACATTCTTTGATCTGTCAACGATATTGTCCAATTATGAATTGTTGAGTTTTTGTCATCACAAATTACTGAATGGCTCACCATTGCCGATGACATGTTTTAGTTTTTTAACATCATTAAGTCATTGTGGACAAAATTCATTTTATCCAAATGTTTCATCAAATGAAACCAATTAGTATTTATTCGGTTGTTATTGGTCAGACAGGTAAGAAATAGTTTCTTTGACATTTGTCTAAAAATCAACCATGCATTTGGACTTTCAATTTTCTTATGATATTGAATTAGAGTATTGAATAGAAAGCTTTGATTTACCAGAGATATCTGACGTATCTCCGAGATAATTTGTAATGTTGTTGTTTTTCTCAATTTCAAACTATGTTATTTCTGTTAAGGGTTAATCGAGCGTCGAAACAGTTAGTTGTTATCGACGAAACCATTCACGATATATATAGTTAAGATATGAATCCATCAGAGCACGATTTAGTTTATGATCTTAAAAGTAAGATTTTTCAACTCGTCGCTACATAGTTAAAATTTTTCTGTCTCATACAGATAGCTTAGTTATTTGTTGTCCATTTCCAATTTATTATCAGTTCATCAAAACGACAAATTTAAAACCGATACGAGAAGCATGCGACAAGGTTGTTAATATGCTCAGCGATAAGTACAAGTATGACATGAAATTGAATGGTGAAGCTACGCAAACACTTTCAATAATATCAAATTTGAATCGCTACGTATGCATCTAAGCAAAGGCGATCAATATATGTTAAGGAATGAAATCGACCCAGCGTTTTCCAAAGTTGACGTATGCACGGACGATGGGGAGACCGAGGAAGCCACATTGTAATTAAGGGTCCCCCCTCAGAAATGACGATTCTCGGATTTTGAGATAAGCACATACAAAGATAGCCTGAAGTGTCTACTTTCAGAATACATATGATTTGATACCATATTAATGGCTTTTGAGAGGGTTTTCAGAGGTTTTCTAGAGACCTCCTGTAGAAAAACTTACTATTTTATTTCGAACTGACGTACTGATGCTATGAAAGTGATTTTTGTACAAAACGAATACCTAATGATGCTGAGTACAATGCATGGGT